CGCCAGGTTAGGTGAGGCACCGGGTGCTTGTCTCGCTCCTAGGTTCGGGGCGTGACACTATACCTCACAACCAGGCCCTCGGCCTCTCTCAGTCATGTACCTCTCTAGTCTCAGGGCCCTCAGAAATCATAAAGATCAGCCCAAACAAAATAACATAGTGTATCAACAAGAATCAAGAAGAGACTGAGATATGATGCACAAGTAAAACCATGACTGAGTACAAGATAGCAAGTAGCAGTTAAATCAACAAGTACTCGACCGCTGCGGGTCCCAACAGTGATAACATATAGCCTAAGCATGATTTCTAACATGATTTATAGTCAAATGTCTATAACATAAAGATAACATGTAATTAGCAATAGTCTATTCAACTTTACAGTCTCACGGGACGGACCAAGTCACAATCCCCCACGGTGCACGCCCACAGGCCCATCACCTAGCATGTGCGTCACCTCCAAAATAGTCATATCATACCAAAATCCGAGGTTTCATACCCTTAGGACCATATTTAAAACTGTTACTTACCTCAAATTGCACAAAATCCTACTCCGCAATGCCCTTGCCCATCGAATCACTCTCCAAACTCCCCGAATCTAGCCACAAGCAGTAAGATATAATTAATATAAGTTAAAAGAATCGATTCCACAAGCAAAACATGAAATTATAAGCCAAAATCCGCAATAGGCTCAAACTGGCCCCCGGGCCCACGTCTCGAAATCCGACAAAAGTCATAAAATATGAATACTCATCCACTCACGAGTCCAACCATACAAGAATTACTCGAATCCAACCTCAAATCACCTCCCAAAACTCGAAATTTTAGCCTATGAAGTTTCTACCATATTTTCCCAAATTTACAACTCAAATCCCTAATTAGATGATGAAAATAGCAATAGATTCATGAAATATAGTCCAATCAGAATTAGAATCACTTACCCCAGCAATCATATTGAAGAAACCTCGAAATATCGCCTCACACCGAGCTCTCAAAGTCCCAAAATTGAAATGGGAATCAAACCCTCGAAGTTCCATTTTCCGCCCAGTTCTTTTGCACCTGCGGACATTCTGTCGCATCTGCGATGCCGCACCTGCGATGCCGAACCTCCGAAATTTCCATCGCAGGTGTAGATCCCACTTAAGTTCCCATATTCCGCATCTGCGGTCACATATTCGCACATGTGGGTGTGCACCTGCGGGCTCTGCCTGCTTCTGCGATCCTTAACACCCAGGCCTTTTTCCGTATCTACGCCTCCCCTTCCGCATCTGCGTTTTCGCAGACACTTGCGCTTCCAGTCCAACCCGGCCTTGCCCGCATCTGAGTTCTCCTCTTCGCTTCTGTGGGGCCGCACCTGCAGGCGTCCACCGCAGGTGCGAAACACTAGAACACCAGAAGAAACTAGCAATTCCTAAGCCGAAACACCCCCGAGGCCCCCGAGACCTCAACCAAACATACCAACAAGTCATATAACCCCATGCGGACTTAGTCGAACATTCGAATCACTAAAAACAACATCAAAACACCAATTACACCTGGATTCAAGCCTAAAGAACTTCTAAACTTTCAAATTTCACAAACGACGCCGAAACCTACCAAACCACGTCCGATTGACCTCAAATTTTGCACACAAGTCATATTCAACATTACGGACCAAATCCAACTTCCAGAATCGGAATCCGACCCCGATATCAAAAAGTCAACCCCCGGTCAAACTTTCCAAAAATTCGACATTCGCCATTTCAAGCCTAAATTTGCTACAGACCTCAAATTCACAGTCTGGACACGCTCTTAAGTCAAAAATCACCCAACGAAGCTAACAAACTGACGGAACTCCATTCTGGAGTCGTCTTCACATACTTCCGAATACAGTCAAAATCCTAAGATTTAAGCTTCCGTTTTAGGGACTAAGTATCCGAAAACACTCCGAAACCAAAAACAAAACCTCCCGGCAAGTCACTTAAGCAGAAATAGATACGGGGAAAAGAGTAAATAGGGGATCGGGGCTAATACACTCAAAAACCATCGGTCGGATCGTTACATTAGCATATTACAAAAGCATGGAACTGAAACAGACTACAAATGCCAAGAGCAAAAATTGTTCGAAAGAAGGCTATAAAGTCTCAATCAGTATCATTAAAATGATCCCCCTCTTTTGATATATTTATAATTGTATTTTGTGAATATTGTACATCAGCTGACATATCAATGACTTCAAGAGGTAAATCTTCGCTCGACCATCTAACATCAATATCGGCTACTCTAGTTGATGGATCGGCTTCATCATTATGCTCCCTCCAAAAAGTCTCCCCAACATTAGGAATATTCTCTTGCTCCAAATCATACAAATCAACAGGGACTTTATTCCTTGCATAATAAACATCTGTATCAATTGGATCCTTACATAAAAAACTTGATTTACTTGAGATGCCAATACAAAAGGGTCATCAGTACTACATAGTCGGTTAAAGTATACCCGGGATAACCCATACTCATCTACTTCATTATGAAACCAATCGCATCTAAATAGTAAAACACTAAAGTGACCCCAATAATCAATCTCAATCATATCCTGAATAGCTCCATAGTAGTGAACCTCTCCATCAATGGGATTTTGGTCCCTGACACTAGCAAAACTATCAGTTGTTGCTAACAAATTCACTCCACTATTCTGAGTATTCAACGGGGCATCCCGCGTCATTGTATGAAATAAGTAACCATTAATAAAATATCCAGTATATCATTTGGCCAATGTATTAGACCCTTTAGCTAGCCATCGCAAATGATTGGGCACTTCATTGCTTTTAACTTTCTCTTTAAACCAATCGACGAAGTTCCTACTATGATTCCTTTCTCTTACCCATGCATTTGATCTAGTACAATTAACAATTAAATTCTTATGTTCCCTGCAAGCCATATGTTTTAAATTTAATCATTAATCTTATATGAATTATGTTTAGAAGTTATAAGATATAAAATAAATGAAGATTATAATATAGAAATTAGTCCTAGTGGAGGAAAATCACTAATTGTCCACATTAAGGTTGCATGCAGTTGAAACATCTGGTTATATTCAGCATCAAATGTTTCGACACCGAATTCCCATAGTTCCTTCAATTCAGCAATTAATGGTTGTAGGTACACATCGATATCATTTCCCGAAGATGATGGACCTGAGACGATCATTGACAACATCATATACTCTGGCTTCATGCAAATCCAAGGCGATAGATTATAGTTCATTAACATAACAGGCCACATGCTATGAGAAATGCTCATTATTCAAAATGGGTTGAAACCATCACTTGAAAGACCCAATCTAACATTACGAGGGTCGCTAGAGAATTCAGGGTGCAAGGAGTCGAAATCCTTCCAAGCATCACCATCAGCATGGTGTCTTATATTTCCATCATTTGGTAGTTCAGTAGCATTCCATCTCATAGCTTCAGCTATTTCAGGACACATGAATATCCTCTAAAGCCTAGGCTTCAATGAAAGGTACCTTAAAACATTTGCAAGGGTTTTGGACTTTTTATTAGTCAAAACATTAAAAATATTCTTCTATCTAGAAGACCCACACACAGAACAAGTATCTGCATTTGCATTGTCATTCCAAAATAACATGCAATCATTATGACATGCATGTAATTTTTCATAATCAAGACCCAAATTTTTTATCATGCTTGTTTCCTTGTAGAAAGACTCGGGTAGCTGAGCAAATGGAAATGCCTCTTTTAACAACACCAACAAGTCAGAGAATGCCACATTACTCAACCCATGAATGCATTTAAACAAGTACAACCAAATCGTAAAACCTAGTTTGGAGAAATTCTTACACCCTGGATACAAATCTTGTTTCCCTTCGTCCACTAATTTAAAGAATCTTTTTGCATCTTCAGAAGATCCTTCCCTCACTTTTTCAAGTCCCAAATCATCATCAATATTTCGAAATTTATCATGAAGTAGTCCATCAATAACGTCATGTATGTCATAACCTTCATCATTATTGCTTGGATATCGAGTCTTTCTCGGGGGAAACCCTTCCCCGTGAAAAACCCATTTGGTGTATCCATGAACAAACCCATGAACAATCAAGTGATCTTCCACCACATTTCTATAATGCCCAAAACAATTAGTGCATTCTTTGGAAGGTCATAATATTTCATTTCCTTGGGAAGCTCGTTCAAAATCCTTACCTAGAAATTCATTCACTCCTCGTATGTACTCGTCAGTTGACCTTCGAAGTCCCATCCACCTTCATATTGGAAGCAATTTAAAGTACTACTTCTCTCTTCCTTGGTTCACAAAATAATTCAGTATTTGAATGAGAAGCATATTTGCACTTTTATCTGATTTATCATGTGAGAGGATTATAATAAAGCGTCCGTAGATCTTTCAGAAGCCAAGAGTAATTCTACTTTTAACACTCTAAAGAGAAGACAAGCCAATAGTCATGTACAACATGATGCTTCTGCAATCTGCAGTGTTAAACCGATTTTCATAGAGAAAAACCACTGCCAGCAGAAATATAAGTTTGAAACAAAGTTCTTAAGTTAGTACACCTGAGTACGTCTTCCAGGAAACATAAGGTAATAGAAGCTATGATGTCTAATACAAGCATACTGCAGTAAGATGCCTAATTCAAAATGTGTATTCTTTCACATTAAGAAGTGATACGAATAGAAGCTCCAGGTGTATTTCATGTTTTAATAAGTGTACAAGTTTGGATTCATTACCTGGAAAGCTATATCACAATCTAGAAGTAGTTAATAACCAAAAAAGAAAACACATGCACAGACTTCCTGCACAAATCAGTTTTACCGTGGTCATAGGGAAAGTTGAAATAGAAAAGGGAGTAATGATCGTTGGCCAATACATCTCAAATCAGTAACAGAGACAGAAGATTTAGGTGACAAATGACACTCCCATGTTTAGGAAAATTAAGGATTAGATAACATCATTTTTACCAAGCAAGAAGATTTAGAAGGGCAAGCAATTTCTCTGAGAAGAATAATCCCAATGTCTAATAGACGTGATGGCAAGCAGTTACCAATCAGACTAAAGCATAGACATGAATCAATCTCACAATTTTAAGTGAAAGCAGCGCAAGCATAAATGAACAGAAGTAATAGAATGTGTTTATCAAAAATATTACCAGAGAAGGAAAAAAGGAGCAGTGAAACAACTTTTCAGAATAACCAAGACAACGAACATCGAACATCAAACATCGAACATCGATAGCAAATATCGAATAAACAAAATCTCATGGTTTCTAACACATAATCAAAACCTAACAGATAAATTCCCCAAATTTACAAACTAAAAATCACAAAATCTATCATGTTATACAGACAAAGCAGAAGTAAAATAATGGATTTATCATAAATATTACCATAGAAAGAAAGCAAAAGGAGCAACAAAATAATTTTTCAGACTAGGGAAGAAGAAAGCGAAAATCGAACAGTGATAGCAAACACAAAACCCGAGAAAAATCGATAGCCTACCTCAGAGATTGCTTGTGTGTTAGCCGAAATTGGTCGTCCTTCAACGAAAGTTGCCGTCCTTCGCCGGAGCTGGCCGATTGAGTTCGTCGATGGTGAGGTCGATGATCTCTAGGTTGGGGCTTAGAGAGAGATGGTGTTTTTTCTGGTTTTGAGAGAGTCAGAGATAAACGGAATTTTCATAGTATGTTTTAACTTAAAATATAATAAAGAGTTAATAAAATATTAGTGGGGTCATTTATTTTGTTTTCTTTGTTTTCTAATAAATATGTAGGAAGGAAAATAAGGATGGAAAAATTGTTACGCCCCTAACCTGGGGGACGAGACCGGCATCCGGTGCCTTACCTAACCTTGCGTACCAACTTGCGACTAAGGGACTCTGAATATATAATATCATACTTTGGTCATGGGGCCACATTGCAAGACAATTTGTGAAGCAAAATATAAAACTGAACGGAAACTAACGCTGACTAAACATTAATATAATGCGGGGCCGACAAGGCCGTCATAACTACTACAACTGACAAACAAACAAAATATACATACAAGACCTACAATCCTAACATACTGCAATAAATGACAGGATATGTCTACAAGCCTCTACTGATGGATGTACTATGATCGGAACAGGGCCCCGACCTACCCATAACATATATACAGATATACATAAGATATATACAAAACTCTAGACTCGGCATCTCCGAAGGACGTGGAGCTTACCGATCAGGCTGAACTTGGGCAACACCTACTGAGGAAGTCTACCAGTCTATCTGTATGAACCTGCACGCATGAAATGCAGTGCCCCCAGAAAAAGGACGTCAGTACGAAATAATGTGCTGAGTATGTAAGGCAATAAAATAACTGAAAGCTAAAACTGAACTGATAATATGATAACTGAAAGTAACTAGGAGTCAAAGATGATCTAGAGATATACTTACCTATTGATACTGACTCAACTATCTCAATATAGTAAGTAAAATAAATGTCTGGCCCTATAAGGCTCGGAACGTGTAACTGCTCCGCCATAGTAGGCTCGCTCATAGGCACTCGGCCATTCTAGGCTCTGTATATCGGCCATTATGGGCCCGCTCATAGGCGCTCGACCATAGTAGGCTCGGTATATAACTTACCATCTGATTAGAGGTTGCCCAATAGGGGACTGCCCACTGATTATAGCTCGATGGTAGTGAAAATACTGTAATACTGTATATATATAGACCCTTTGCTCTCTTGACTGAATAGAGACAAAACTAAACTGAATATAAAGTCCTGATAAGGGAGAATACTATAACATATGAGACTAGGATAGTGTATATAAATTCGGGAGTATGAACTTTCCTTTATGCCTCGTTATCAAACACATGTAATTACGAGACCATGCCAAAATGAAGGAAGGACTTAGCCTTAACATAACTTATCAAAATCTTTCCAATCACCAAGTTGAACTCACCTTTTCGCACCTCCAATGCTTATAAATAGCAGCACTTTGCCTCACCGATCATAAATCATAAATACTAAAAGTGTAAAATAAAAGCTTACCTGATGACCTGCTAGCCTGAATAGAGTTGTGTTGTAGCATCCCATCTCGAGCCATATCTTCTGTTTGAAATAGGTGGGGGTATTTAGACTTTATTTCTTCCTCTGATTCCCACGTCATCTCTTATACATTCTTGCTCCTCCATAAAACCTTCACGGAAGCTAACTCCTTATTTCATAGTTTGCGGATTTGTAGGTCTAGGATGGCAACTGGAATTTCCTCCTATGATAATTCCTCTGTAATATGTACATCATCTGTGGGCACCACTAGGGTAGGATCGCCAATGCACTTCTGTAGAATAGATACGTGAAAAACCGGATGGACAGACTCCAATTTTGAGGGAAACTCTAACTCATAAGCTACTTGGCCCACTCTCCGAATGATCCTATAAGGCCCAATATACCGTGGGCTAAGCTTGCCTTTCTTGCCAAACCTCATCGCGCCCTTCATAGGTGATACCTTTAAGAATACCCGGTCACTAACCCTAAACTCTAAGTCTCGTCCCCCACATCAGAATATGACTTCTGACGACTCTGAGCTGTCAACAGTCGCTCCCGAATAAGCTTTACTTTCTCTATGGCCTGCTGAACCAAGTCTGGCCCATGTAACCGAAATTCTCCAACATCAAACTACCCTATAGGAGATTTGCACTTATGCCCATACAAAGCCTCGTATGGAGCCATCTGGATACTGGATTGGTAATTGTTATTATATGCAAAATCAATATGAGGTAGATATTCATCCCAACTTCTTGTAAAATCCAACACACATGCTCGTAACATATCCTCGAGCGACTGAATTGTGCGCTTGGCTTGTCCATCAGTCTGCGGATGAAAAGCTATGCTGAGATTCACCTTAGTCACTAGACCTCTCTGAAATGACCTCCAAAAATGTGATATAAACTAAGCCCCACGGTCACATATAATAGAAACAGGTACTCCTTGTAGCCGCACTATCTCCTTAATATATAACTTTGCATAGTCTTCTGCTGTATATGTAGATCTGACCGGTAGGAAATGAGCTGATTTCGTGAGCCTATCGACTATCACCCATATGGAATCGAACTTAAGATTAGAATGAGGTAAACCCGTGATAAGTCCATGTTTATCACCTCTCATTTCCATGTCGGAATCTTTATAGTCTGCATTAGCCCTCCGGGCTTCTGGTGCTCTACCTTCATTTGCTGGCAACTAGGACATTGGGTGACAAACTCAGCAATGTTCTTCTTTATATAATTCCACCAGTACACTTCCTTAATGTCATGATACATCTTTGTCGACCCAGGATAGATGGATTAATATCATGATACATCCTGTCTCATAGCCCTGCTACATCTGGAACACACAGACGACCCCTATATCTGAGAACCCCATCTCCCTTGAGCTCTAATAATGGCTTCTTCTACTGCAGAACTCGCTCTCTCAACTCGACCAACTCCGGATCCTCGTACTACCTTTCCTTGACTTCAGTTATGAGAGATGATTTTGCAGTGTTATGGAGTACAACTCCACCATCGTCAGAATCTACTAACTGAACCCCCAAACAAACTAATTGAGGAATCTCTCTAGTTAATTGTCTTTTCTCGGCCTCTACATGTGCTAAGCCACCCATAGATCGGCAACTTAAGGCATATGCTACAACATTAGATTTCCCTGGATGGTAGAGAATGTTAACATCATAATCTTTTAATAACTCAAGCCATCGCCTTTGTCGCAAATTCAAATCTTTCTACTTGAAGATATATTGTAGGCTTTTATGATCTGTAAGTACATCAACATGAACACCATATAAATAATGCCGCCATATCTTAAGTTCATCTACAACCACAACTAACTCGAGGTCATGGGTCGGCTAATTCCTCTCGTGCTTCCTCAACTGCCTTGAAGCATACGCAATTACTTTACCATATTGCATCAGGAAATGTCCTAACCCGACACCTGAGGCATCACAATACATGGCATAACCCTCTGGACCCTGTGAAGTGTTAGAACTGGCGCTGAGGTCAACCTGTTCTTAAGCTCTTAGAAACTCCGCTTGCAAGCCTCCGTACATTGAAACTTAGTTTCTTTCTGTGTCAACTTTGTCAATGGTGCCGAAAGGGAAGAAAAACCCTTTATGAACCTCCGGTAGTATCCTGCTAAGCCTAGAAAGCTACAAACCTCTGTCGGAGTGGTAGGTCTAGGCCAAGATTTCACGGCGTCAATCTTCTGAGTGTCTACCTTTATACCTTCATATGATACAATATGCCCCAAGAATGCTACAGACTTCAACCAGAATTCATATTTAGAAAACTAAGCGTACAACTTACGATCACGGAGGGTTTGGAGTACCGCTCATAGGTGGTCCGCATGTTCATCCTCTGAACGGGAATAAACCAGAATATCATCAATAAATACTATCACGAACAGATCTAAAAATGGCCGGAATAGGCTATTCATCAAGTCCATAAATACAGCGGGTGCATTAGTCAACCCGAAGGACATGACAAGGAACTCGAAGTGGCCATATCGGGTCCTGAAGGCTGTCTTCGGAATATCTTTTTCCCGAACTCTGACCTGGTGGTACCCCGACCTCAAATCAATCTTTGAAAAGTATCTAGCCCCCTGCAACTGATCAAACAAGTCATTGATCCTTGGAAGTGGATACTTATTCTTAATAGTTACCTTGTTCAGCTACCTATAATTGATACACATCCTCAGCGAGCCATCTTTCTTCCGCACAAACAGTACCGGTGCACCCCAAGGTGAGGTACTGGGCTTGATGAAACCTTTCTCCAGCAAATCTTTCAGGTCCTAGAAGCAAATCGATACTAAAATCAATCTCTCACTCTGGAGGAATACCTGGAAGCTCATCTAGAAACACATCTGCATACTCTTTGACTACAGAAATAGACTGAAGTGTAGGTATCTCAGCATCTGCATCTCTAACTCGCACAATATGATAAATGCACCCTTTTTCGATCATTTTCCTCGCCTTCAGATGGGAAATAAACCTATCTCTGGGTGTCGCTATATTACAAGGACTGGCTCACCAGAAATTGAAATCTGGCTACCTTTGTTCGGCAATCAACCGTGGCATAGCAAGTTGCCGACCAATCCATGCCCATGATAGCATCAAAATCCATCATCTCTAGCTCAACTAGGTTAGCTGAGGTCTGACGACTACAAACTGTCACTGTACAACCTCGATAAACCCATCTAGTAATAATCGATTCTCCGACTGGTGTAGATACCGCAAAAGGATCACTTAGTATTTCAGGCACTATACCAAACTTCCCCGCGACAAATGGGGTAATATACGATAAAGTAGATCCTGGGTCTATCAAGGTATAAGAATCATGAGAGAAAATGGTCAATATACCTGTCACAACGTCTGGTGAAGACTCCTAGTCATGTCGACCCACTAAAGCATAGATACGGTTCTGATTACCACCTGAACTGGAACCTCTACCTCTGCCTCTACCTCTACCAGCCGAAGACTGAGGCTTACGCCCCGAAGGATGCACAAACATGGATGATCTTGTTGTTGAACTTGCTGGTTGTGCCATTCCCCTAGAATCTATATTTGGACAATCTCGCATCATATGCCCCGAACGCCCACATGTATAACAAGCATCAGAACCTGCTCGG